AGACTCCATGGTAGGCCTATGTGCAGGAGTATAACATGCCTCTTTCTCTGGATGTATAATGTCATACAGCAGCATTTACTGTAGGATGCAATGAAAAAGATGTTCTACTTATAAACTGACAACATGTATCGTTTTCAGTGTTGCTTGTATTTGACCTTGGGTCTGAATGTTACTTTAGATTTAAAAGCAGGAAATAGCTTGAGTCCAAATTTGGGAGCAACTTCACAACTAAATGTGAAATATAAAAAATGTCTTGTATATCAAACTGTGGCATTACTCAAATGTTAAATAGTAAGTACAGACTGTGGTCGATAGCTATGACTAAAATAAATGTTATTATACACACGTACAAAGTTCTGTAAAGTTCTGTGTGATATCAATGTGGAAACCTTTACCTGTCAGGTGGAGCAGCTACATAAAGTAGGTTACATGCTGTATTGTAAGGAGGTTCCAACAATCACAAGCAAGAAAACCACGGGAGCCGGCTGCGGGTAATCAAGTCTGGCTGTATTTTATCCAATTCACCACAAGGTGTCGCCATCCTCCCCTTTTAACTCTGGTAGACAAACATGTTTCAACTTGTTCTGTAGCGCTACTGATTGGTTGGTTGATTTTTAAACCGTATCAGAAACCTGTCTTACATCCACCTTTTCCATAGTTAGCATTTGGCCTGTCTTTTCCCTGAGAGGGTATTTCATTATTTGGTTAGTCATGTAGCTCTATAGGCTACAGTTACTACATGTGCCTCTACTAACAGCAGTGGGACCTGCTAAAACTGTCTGAAATTAACTTGCGTTAAGAAAAAACAACTTTTGGTTGTCAGAAGGTATTTTCAATCTGCAACTGCCATAATGCACATATCTATTCCCATTATTTCTACAGGTTCAGGTGTACAGTGTTTGGAATTCATTATTATTATCATTATCAATAAACTATAGGTCCTTTATTATCCCCGGGTAGTTGTGTCAGTAATAGCCTGCACACTGCCTTCTCCACGTGCTTCACTTTAAGCATGGGATTGGGACCCCGTGGGATCCTCTTAGGAACTGCTTAACACCCAGTTTGGGAGCTGTTGGTGTCTGCCTCTGTGAGACAGGCAGTGTTATAGCTAAAAAGAAACTGAAATGATTCAAGGATGATCTATACAGCACTTTACAGCTAAAGCACACCACACCCATATACTGTATCTTCCCCCCCAAAGAAGAAACCCATCCATATGAGCACACCATAAACTGGGCATCTGCTAGTTTGTCTCTGAGGCAGATGTGTAGCTATTGCCTCAATAACAAGGCCATGCATGAAACTGAAAAGCTTTGGCCAGACCTAAATTTATCAGTTGGTGAGTCACTTAATAAAGTGGTCAGACCCCTTCAGTTTTTGCAAACATTACTGTGTGCAAAAAAAATCACCACTTACGTATGCAGGACAGTGAAAGCTAAAGATGATGTGAAACTGTCGCCATGATATTACAACTGTCATTCAATTATGAAGCATTTTTGTATTTACAGAATGTATGAGTGAAAAGTACAGAACTAGTAAATACACAATAAAAATCATTTAGTAAAACCAGTGTTGAATGGCTGGATGATGTAAGCATCTATAACTGACACTGTCATCGTGGTGGTTTTTCAAAATCACGTAGCAACTTTGGGAATCCCAACTGCTTTCAATTTCACATTTTGTTAAAGAAAAACTGCTAAATGGTTCCTGAATTTGCTGCAGACGGCTTGTGGTCATGTAGTAAGGCAATTTGTGAATGAATATTTGAGGAGAGCATCATCCTGCCTGAAGGACAACAGTTTTGTGTTCTTCCTACAGTATGTAGCTGTGGTATACAGTATGCATGGGTGTCTGTACATCTGTATGTTTCTGTTCTTCATTGATTGTGGTTTCTCAGGCCCAGAGAATTCATATTTGTCATATTTGAGGTTTCTCTTCTAAAATTAATTGCCAGGATCTGTCATAGTTAAAATCTGAGTAACAAAGACTAACCAGCTCATCTCTTGTCTCACCTCTGTTTGACTCAGTTTCCTCTGTTATTGTAGTTGGAGGAAATAAGAATAAAGGAGTAACTGATCCATCATGGGTCATTATGACAGTAGTGCTATAAACAACCCATTCAGGCCTTAACTGTGGCTTTTCTCTGTTGTGCTGGTTTACAGGCATGCAAAAATTTGGAAAACAATGGAATCTGGAAAAATATCCCCAACAAGGAAATCCCCCGTGCCCAGGAATGACCACATCTGAAATAATTCAGTTCTGACTGATTTTAAGTTGCTGACCAGAGGTTTACTCAAAAAGACTTTATCACGTGTGAGCATGTACTGTATATACACTATACAAAAGATCTCTACCATTAATCCTAAAACCTCCAGCTTAGTCCTACTGCAGCAGCGATGGGAGGTTTTTACCTGTGTAGCACAAAGTCTGATGCCGAGAGCAGCCCGCTGTTGATGTCTTGCCCTGACTGCTACAGAGGCTGTCTGAAGTGGCTGTGCCCCATTTGAGTGTCTTCAGGTCCAGATCTGAGCAGTTTCTGTGGGGCTGACATGGGTTTGTGGAGGAGCTGCCAGTGGAGAAGTGACCAGCTGGACAACGCTCACACACAGTGTCACTCACTGGTGTGCCTAGAGGAGATACACACAGGATGACGTATGAATTTGATAAGTAAAAACATGAATGTGACAGAAGTTATACATTATAAAATCTAAGTTTTGAGAAAAAAAAAACACAACCATAAATATTTTTCTCATTTGTACTGTCACAAATGATATCTTACACATCTCAGCTGTTTCAAGTATGGCAACACATTCTGCACTAGTAACCTCATTACACTGGAAGATGTGATTCCAAGAACCACAGCGACATGTGACGACCCATCACGATGAAGTGACTCATTTCCAAAAATGACTCACTTTGGTTTTGCTCACTGTAACAGCTCTTTAGTTTCTATATCTTTTTTTCACATGGTCGGTGTAGAACATGAGAAAAATACTATTACTATGATCACATGGAACAGCTGTTTTTCAGGCTGAGAGAAAAATGAACTTTTAATAAAAAAAAAACTCAAATGTGTTCAGTATGTTAATATATTTAAATGTAAAATGAAATACAGTCGCCCGATGCCGGCTGGGATTGGCTCCAGCCCCCCTGCGCCCCCGTTCGGGACTAAGCGGTATAGAAAATGAGATGAGATGAAATACAGTACAATACAGTAGCATATAAGTGAAACACCGCCCAGGCTTTTTGCTAGATTATTACAGTTACAGTACATGCAATAAGAAATAGCATAAAGTCACTTAATAAAGTGGTCAGACCCATTCAATTTTTGCAAACATTACTGTGTGCAAAAAAATCACCATGCTTCACCACAGGTGATAACCAGACAGTGCTCAGTTCTACCAAAAGCTTTTAATTTTTGTCTCATCAAACCAGAGAATCTTGCTCATGCTATCAGAGCTCTTCAAATGCCATTTGGAAAACTTCAATTGGTCTGCCATGCACCTCTTACTCAGACTGCCTTCTATCTACTCTACCATGAAGGCTGACTGATGCAGCGCTGCTGAGATGCCATGTGCATAAAAACTAAATTATCAATCTAACTTTAATTTTAAATTGACTTTCAATGTGAAAAAGCTTGTATATTATCATATTATAATCAGTATTACCTCATAGTACTATTAATTAATACAAACTAAACAAATAAGAGGAATTTACTGCATTAACTGATGTATATCTTTCATTAGTAGTTTGTGTAGTTTTTGTCATCACTACAAAATGTTGCCATTCTGTTGTAATGGCTTTTAATTTAATAATGTATCTTGCTTATTTTACCCCATTTACAACTTATGGGCAGTTGACATGATAACATTACAGTAAGCTATAACACCTTCTGGTACATGACCTGCAGCACACATGACAACTACGGTAGTGGAACTTGCATTACAATCACATCCTCATTTTATTTTTATCTCTAAAGCATAGAAGTGAGAGCATGTGGGCGAGCTGTGCTTATATCAGATTTAACCTTTAGTTTCCTGATATCATAGCACAGAATGTTCTTGTTTGACAGCCTTTCATAATAACACATGAAACCGCCGGTTGATGTGCACACAGTAAAGTGCTAGTTTCCTGCAACATTGATGACGAAGCATGTATAGTATGGGGCTTCAGTCTCGTGTCTCAGAATAGCTGTAATACCATTACATGTGCTGTCTTTTAGCTTTATCCTTTTTTTCTCTCAGAATTTTCTCGACCTAAAATCAGCATGTTAGCACTTTACTGTAGGAAACAGCTCATTTACTGTAAAGCAGAGGTGCTAGCTCCACTGTCTGCATAATAAAGGGTGCTATATACAGTATTAATTGACCAAATTGGCTGAAGATGCATAAATATAAAAAGCATATAGATATATATAGAAATGCTGAGTGGGCCCTCATTAGAGGGAAGTGTGCTGATTCTGATGACTCAGCCCAACAGCCCTGTAACGGTGATTCCTTATATTCCCCCTGAGAACTGATCAGCAGCCCTCTGATCTCCACCCCAACCTGTCAAGGTGGGTTCATTTCTTATGTCATTAAGCAGCCTTCATGGTATTAAACCAAATTATTTGTAGGACCATGTGTTGATCTAACACATTAAACATTGCAGTCACTACGCAGAAGCAATGTTAAGTTATACTTTACAACTCAGAAACCTTTTAGCAGTAAAGCAGCCATGGTTTAAAATGATTTAGGCGACAGTCAGGAAATGGGGAGAATGAGGAGCGTATGACGTGACACATATCTCTGGCTGGAATTGTTATGGTTACACAATATGCACTAGAATGGCAGCAATGTGAACCACACAAAAATGGAGGGAAGTGGATTTCAACCACAGGTGACTGTCTGACTCAGTCTGACACAAAACACTTTGCTGCTTTAAGGAATCAACTGTTCCCGTTGTCTTAGTAACATATGAACACTTCATGGTTCAAGATGTTTGCACTAAGTCTGTCATCCCTTTTGCCACTGTGAACTAAACACTCTTTTTACTTTGAATTACAAATACATTTAAAAAAAAATAATGTTTTTTTCCCCATAGATGAGAACAATTATACTGG